TTGAGCTGCGGGAGGTGCGGCACCAGATGCTGGCTGCACAGCAGTTTGAGTCGCAGGTCAACGTGTCCGACCTTGAAGAGGAGCTGGAGGTGCGCTCGCTCTGGGGGGCTGAGACGGGGGACGGGGGAAGGGGGGAAAAAGGGAGGGGTCTGAAGGGGGTTGACGGGATGTAAGGTGTGTGTGAAGGAATGGGAGGGAAGGGGAGCAGAACAGGAGAGGGGTGGGGCAGAGGGAGCTGAGTTTGTAGTGGACAATGAGGGGTGGGTGAACGAGGGGGATAGGGGGGGTGCTCAGGGGGCGTGCACGGTGCTGTTCAGGGCAGGTGCAATTTAGCTCAACAAAATGGGGGAAAGGAAAGTTGTGTACAGGAGATGCTGCTCCATGTGAGAACGCGAGAAGTGGGAACTTTAAACAACTCCGTGCTGTGTGCTGCTGTGTGGGTGGCAGCGTGTGGAGGCGGAGGCAGAAACAGAAAGGGCGTCGCTGGAAGAGAAGAAGGGGCGACTGGAGGAGGCAAAGGAGGAGGAGCGGGTGGTGCTGGGGAACAAGGGACGACTTGAAGGTGCGAGGGAGTGAGGGTGCGAGGGAGTGCGGGTGCGAGGGAGTGCGGGTGCGAGGGAGTGCGGGTGCGAGGGAGTGCGGGTGCGAGGGAGTGCGCGTGCGAGGGAGTGCGGGTGCGAGGGAGTGCGGGTGCGAGGGAGTGCGGGTGCGAGGGAGTGCGGGTGCGAGGGAGTGTGGGTGCGAGGGAGTGCGGGTGCGAGGGAGTGCGGGTGAGCCTTGTTTTGAGTCAACTCAGAGAGGGCGTCTCTGGAAGAGCAGAAGGGGCGACGGCGACTGGAGGAGGCAAAGGAGGAGGAGCGGGTGGTGCTGGGGAACAAAGGACGACTCGAAGGTGCGAGGGAGTGAGGGTGAGAGGGAGGGGAGGACGAGACTTTGCATTCAGTGGGTGAGAAAGGGCAGGCATGTGAGAGTGTGTGGCTGTGGGATTTGCAGTGGCTGGCTGCTTGCAAGACCGAAAGAGGATTGTAGCACCGTGATAACAATAGAGTAACTCCTGGCAGCAGGATCCGTGGATGGGTTTGCTCCCATTGCCATCGCCAAGAATCCACCCGGTTCAAAGAAACTCACCCCATTTTCATTTTATTCTCCTCCTCTTCCTCCTTCTCGTTTTTCGGTCCCCTTTCGTCCCCTCACCTTCCTCATTTACCCCGTCTCCCTCTCTTTCCCGCACCTTGCTCCCTCCTCCTCTCCTCTCTCTGTGTGTGTGTCCGCCACCTGTGGGATTGCCTCTGTGTGTGCGTTACCAGAGGAGCTGAGGGCGTTGGACGAGGCGTTGGGAGGGGCCATGGAGAGGATGGATCACCTCACCACACAGCAGCGCCGGATGCAGGCGGTGCGTTGCTTCCCCTCCCTCGCCCCATCCGTTTCCCCCTCCCTTTCCCTTTTGAGTCGACTCAAAAGTCACTATGGAGAGGATGGATCACCTCACCACACAGCAGCGCCGTATGCAGGCGGTGCGTTGCCTCTCCCTCGCCCCTTCCGTTTCCCTCTCCCTTTCTCGCTTCCCCTCCCTCTGCTGCTCCCTCTCCCTCTCTTCCCCTCTCCCTTGCCCGAACCTCTCCCTCTCCGTCTCCTTTGCGTGTCTCACCAAAGCACACTCGGGTGGGCTCTTGATTCTCCTGGGGGTGTTGGTTGACCCAGGGAGTATCGTGCGTGTGTGCGTGTGTGTGTGCGTGCGTGCGTGCGACTTTTGAGGCGACTCAAAAGTCCTCCTTTGCGTGTCTCACCAAAACACACTCGGGTGGGCTCTTGATTCTGCTGGGGATGTTGGTTGACCCAGGGAGTATCGTGCGTGTGTGCGTGTGTGTGTGCGTGTGTGCGTGTGTGTGTGCGTGTGTGCGTGTGTGCGTGTGTGCGTGCGTGCGTGTGTGTGTGCGTGCGTGCGTGTGTGCGTGTGTGCGTGTGTGCGTGTGTGCGTGTGTGCATGTTTGTGACCATGCATGTGTGTGTGCGTGCTGCATGCCTTTGTGCATGTGCCCGTGTGTGTGCATGCATTGCAGGCAGTGAAGCGGCTAACAGAAGATCTGCAGCGCCTGCAACACAGTGTAGCAGCAAGCGACGCCGAAATAGAGCACAAGAGGAGCACCGCACAGGTGGAAACCCGTCCCACTCGAGTCTGTCTGTCCAGAGACATCCCGTCCTCGCCCTCACACGTTCTCACACTTTCTTGCCTTTGCGCGTCTTTTTCACCTTACTCCTTCCCCCTCCCTTTACTCCCCCTCCCTTTTAACCCACGTCCTCCATCCTCTTTCCCCACCTCCCACACACCCTGTCTCCTCGCCTTCCAATGCTCCCGTTCCCAGGCGAAGCGGCAGCAGGCGGGGATGGTGTGTGAGGAGGAGGGGGGGCAGCAGGAGGGCGAGGAGGTGATGGACTCAGAGGACCTGAGGAAGCGCCTCATGCGCCTGCGCGCCGAGCTGCCCCGGGACTACCAGGCCGTGTGAGTGTGCGACAGGGGGGGTAGAGATGTAGGGGTGTGGAGAGTGGAGGGTTTGTGGGTACGGAGAGTGGAGGGTTTGTGGGTACGGAAATGGGGAAGAGGGGAGTAGCGCCTCATGCGCCTGCGCGCCGAGCTGCCCCGGGACTACCAGGCCGTGTGAGTGTGCGACAGGGGGGGTAGAGATGTAGGGGTGTGGAGAGTGGAGGGTTGTGGGTACGGAGAGTGGAGGGTTTGTGGGTACGGAAATGGGGAAGAGGGGAGTAGCGCCTCATGCGCCTGCGCGCCGAGCTGCCCCGGGACTACCAGGCCGTGTGAGTGTGCGACAGGGGGGGTAGAGATGTAGGGGTGTGGAGAGTGGAGGGTTTGTGGGTACGGAGAGTGGAGGGTTTGTGGGTACGGAAATGGGGAAGAGGGGAGTAGCGCCTCATGCGCCTGCGCGCCGAGCTGCCCCGGGACTACCAGGCCGTGTGAGTGTGCGACAGGGGGGGTTAGAGATGTAGGGGTGTGGAGAGTGGAGGGTTTGTGGGTACGGAGAGTGGAGGGTTTGTGGGTACGGAAATGGGGAAGAGGGGAGTAGCGCCTCATGCGCCTGCGCGCCGAGCTGCCCCGGGACTACCAGGCCGTGTGAGTGTGCGACAGGGGGGGTAGAGATGTAGGGTGTGGAGAGTGGAGGGTTTGTGGGTACGGAGAGTGGAGGGTTTGTGGGTACGGAAATGGGGAAGAGGGGAGTAGCGCCTCATGCGCCTGCGCGCCGAGCTGCCCCGGGACTACCAGGCCGTGTGAGTGTGCGACAGGGGGGGTAGAGATGTAGGGGTGTGGAGAGTGGAGGGTTTGTGGGTACGGAAATGGGGAAGAGGGGAGTAGCGCCTCATGCGCCTGCGCGCCGAGCTGCCCCGGGACTACCAGGCCGTGTGAGTGTGCGAACAGGGGGGGTAGAGATGTAGGGGTGTGGAGAGTGGAGGGTTGGGGGTACGGAAATGGGGAAGAGGGGAGTAGCGCCTCATGCGCCTGCGCGCCGAGCTGCCCCGGGACTACCAGGCCGTGTGAGTGTGCGACAGGGGGGGTAGAGATGTAGGGGTGTGGAGAGTGGAGGGTTTGTGGGTACGGAAATGGGGAAGAGGGGAGTAGCGCTCTTCATGCGCCTGCGCGCCGAGCTGCCCCGGGACTACCAGGCCGTGTGAGTGTGCGACAGGGGGGTAGAGATGTACGGGGGTGTGGAAGAGTGGAGGGTTTTGTGGGTACGGAAATGGGGAAGAGGGGAAGTAGCGCCTCATGCGCCTGCGCGCCGAGCTGCCCCTGGGACTACCAGGCCGTGTGAGTGTGCGACAGGGGCGGGGTAGAGATGTAGGGGTGTGGAGAGTGGAGGGTTTGTGGGTACGGAAATGGGGAAGAGGGGAGTAGCGCCTCATGCGCCTGCGCGCTACGAGCTGCCCCGGGACTACCAGGCCGTGTGAGTGTGCGACAGGGGGGGTAGAGATGTAGGGGTGTGAGAGTGTAGGGTTGTGGGTACGGAGAGTGTGAGGTTTGTGGGTACGGAAATGGGGAAGAGGGGAGTAGCGCCTCATGCGCCTTGCGCGCCGAGCTGCCCCGGGACTACCATGCCGTGTGAGTGTGCGACAGGGGGGGTAGAGATGTAGGGGTGTGGAGAGTGAGGGTTTGTGTGGTACGGAGAGTGGAGGGTTTGTGGGTACGGAAATGGGAAGAGGGGAGTAGCGCCTCATGCGCCTGCGCGCCGAGCTGCCCCGGGACTACCAGGCCGTGTGAGTGTGCGACAGGGGGGGGTAGAGATGTAGGGGTGTGGAGAGTGGAGGGTTTGTGGGTACGGAAATGGGGTACGGAAATGGGGAAGAGGGGAGTAGCGCCTCATGCGCCTGCGCGCCGAGCTGCCCCGGGACTACCAGGCCGTGTGAGTGTGCGACAGGGGGGGTAGAGATGTAGGGGTGTGGAGAGTGGAGGGTTTGTGGGTACGGAGAGTGGAGGGTTTGTGGGTACGGAAATGGGGAAGAGGGGAGTAGCGCCTCATGCGCCTGCGCGCCGAGCTGCCCCGGGACTACCAGGCCGTGTGAGTGTGCGACAGGGGGGGTAGAGATGTAGGGGTGTGGAGAGTGGAGGGTTTGTGGGTACGGAAATGGGGAAGAGGGGAGTAGCGCCTCATGCGCCTGCGCGCCGAGCTGCCCCGGACTACCAGGCCGTGTGAGTGTGCGACAGGGGGGGTAGAGATGTAGGGGTGTGGAGAGTGGAGGGTTTGTGGGTACGGAAATGGGGAAGAGGGGAGTAGCGCCTCATGCGCCTGCGCGCCGAGCTGCCCCGGGACTACCAGGCCGTGTGAGTGTGCGACAAGGGGGGGTAGAGATGTAGGGGGTGTGGAGAGTGGAGGGTTTGTGGGTACGGAAATGGGGAAGAGGGGAGTAGCGCCTCCATGCGCTCCTGCGCGCCGAGCTGCCCCGGGACTACCAGGCCGTGTGATGTGTGCGACAGGGGGGGTAGAGATGTAGGGGTGTGGAGAGTGGAGGGTTTGTGGGTACGGAAATGGGGAAGAGGGGAGTAGCGCCTCATGCGCCTGCGCGCCGAGCTGCCCCGGGAACTACCAGGCCGTGTGAGTGTGCGACAGGGGGGTAGAGATGTAGGGGTGTGGAGAGTGGAGGTTTGTGGGTACGGAAATGGGGAAGAGGGGAGTAGCGCCTCATGCGCCTGCGCGCCGAGCTGCCCGGGACTACCAGGCCGTGTGAGTGTGCGACAGGGGGGGTAGAGATGTAGGGGTGTGGAGAGTGAGGGTTTGTGGGTACGGAAATGGGGAAGAGGGGAGTAGCGCCTCATGCGCCTGCGCGCCGAGCTGCCCCGGGACTACCAGGCCGTGTGAGTGTGCGACAGGGGGGGTAGAGATGTAGGGGTGTGGAGAGTGGAGGGTTTGTGGGTACGGAAATGGGGAAGAGGGGAGTAGCGCCTCATGCGCCTGCGCGCCGAGCTGCCCCGGGACTACCAGGCCGTTGTGAGTGTGCGACAGGGGGGGTAGAGATGTAGGGGTGTGGAGAGTGGAGGGTTTGTGGGTACGGAAATGGGGAAGAGGGGAGTAGCGCCTCATGCGCCTGCGCGCCGAGCTGCCCCGGGACTACCAGGCCGTGTGAGTGTGCGACAGGGGGGGTAGAGATGTAGGGGTGTGGAGAGTGGAGGGTTTGTGGGTACGGAAATGGGGAAGAGGGGAGTAGCGCCTCATGCGCCTGCGCGCCGAGCTGCCCCGGGACTACCAGGCCGTGTGAGTGTGCGACAGGGGGGGTAGAGATGTAGGGGTGTGGAGAGTGGAGGGTTTTGTGGGTACGGAAATGGGGAAGAGGGGAGTAGCGCCTCGATGCGCTCGGCGCCGCCGAGCTGCCCCGGGACTACCGAGGGCCGTGTGAGTGTGCGACATGGGGGGGTAGAGATGTAGGGGTTGTGGAGAGTGGAGGGTTTGTGGGTTACGGAAATGGGGAAGAGGGGAGTAGCGCCTCATGCGCCTGCGCGCCGAGCTGCCCCGGGACTACCAGGAGCCGTGTGGAGATGTGACGACAGGGGGGGTAGAGATGTAGGGGTTGTGGAGAGTGGAGGTTTGGTGGGGGTACGGAAATGGGGGAAGAGGGGAGTTACAGCCTAATGCGCGCTGCCGCGCCGTAAGCTGGCCCCGGGACTACCAGGCCGTGTGAGTGTGCGACAGGGGTGGTAGAGAGGTTAGGGGTGTGGAGAGTGAGGGTTTGTGGGTACGGAAATGGGGAAGAGGGGAGTAGCGCCTCATGCGCCTGCGCGCCGAGCTGCCCCGGGACTACCAGGCCGTGTGAGTGTGCGACAGGGGGGGTAGAGTATGTAGGGGTGTGGAGAGTGAGGTTTTGTGGGTACGGAAATGGGGAAGAGGGGAGAGTAGCGCCTCATGCGCCTGCGCGCCGAGCTGCCCCGGGACTACCAGGCCGTGTGAGTGTGCGACAGGGGGGGTAGAGATGTAGGGGTGTGGAGAGTGGAGGGTTTGTGGGTACGGAAATGGGGAAGAGGGGAGTAGCGCCTCATGCGCCTGCGCGCCGAGCTGCCCCGGGACTACCAGGCCGTTGTGAGTGTGCGACAGGGGGGGTAGAGATGTAGGGGTGTGGAGAGTGGAGGGTTTTGTGGGTACGGAAATGGGGAAGAGGGGAGTAGCGCCTCATGCGCCTGCGCGCCGAGCTGCCCCGGGACTACCAGGCCGTGTGAGTGTGCGACAGGGGGGGTAGAGATGTAGGGTGTGGAGAGTGGAGGGTTTGTGGGTACGGAAATGGGGAAGAGGGGAGTAGCGCCTCATGCGCCTGCGCGCCGAGCTGCCCCGGGACTACCAGGCCGTGTGAGTGTGCGACAGGGGGGGTAGAGATGTAGGGGTGTGGAGAGTGGAGGGTTTGTGGGTACGGAAATGGGGAAGAGGGGAGTAGCGCCTCATGCGCCTGCGCGCCGAGCTGCCCCGGGACTACCAGGCCGTGTGAGTGTGCGACAGGGGGGGTAGAGATGTAGGGGTGTGGAGAGTGGAGGGTTTGTGGGTACGGAAATGGGGAAGAGGGGAGTAGCGCCTCATGCGCCTGCGCGCCGAGCTGCCCCGGGACTACCAGGCCGTGTGAGTGTGCGACAGGGGGGGTAGAGATGTAGGGGTGTGGAGAGTGGAGGGTTTGTGGGTACGGAAATGGGGAAGAGGGGAGTAGCGCCTCATGCGCCTGCGCGCCGAGCTGCCCCGGGACTACCAGGCCGTGTGAGTGTGCGACAGGGGGGGTAGAGATGTAGGGGTGTGGAGAGTGGAGGGTTTGTGGGTACGGAAATGGGGAAGAGGGGAGTAGCGCCTCATGCGCCTGCGCGCCGAGCTGCCCCGGGACTACCAGGCCGTGTGAGTGTGCGACAGGGGGGGTAGAGATGTAGGGGTGTGGAGAGTGGAGGGTTTGTGGGTACGGAAATGGGGAAGAGGGGAGTAGCGCCTCATGCGCCTGCGCGCCGAGCTGCCCCGGGACTACCAGGCCGTGTGA